CGGAACCGATTTGAATGGCGGAACGACGACCAAGGATATCCGAGATGAAACCCGAGATCAACGAACCCAGCCAGGAACCAGCAGCCATGGATGCGGTGATACCACCCTGCACACTCGCACTGGGACCCTGACAGACTCTCGTGCCATCATCATCATAAGTGACAGGAGCCTGGTTGAAATAACAGAGATAGGCATCGGTCTCGATGATGGCGGACATCGACGAGATATCGAAACCGAACAGACCACCGCCGACGACGGCGATGGCCGCAATGAAGTAAAGATTGCCGATGGCCATGATGCCAGCTGGTTCCTCTCACGGCAGGAGATTCTGGGGGAAAGAAAAAAGAAACCTCGGGGAACCACCGAAGAAAGCAAAAGAAGAACGCAGGAGAAGCCGGGGAAAAGACGGGGGATTTAAGGAAAGCGAACCCCGGGAACGGATGGCACCAGATGAAATGAACCACAGTGAGACAAGAGCAAATGCCGCGGGGTCGACGCAGAAAACCGCCATGATGGCCGGTTGAATTGTCAAACCTAAAGGGTGGTAGAGGGACTGTTCCGACCCGATTAGCACGGCAAAGCAGACCCATGCCAGGCGAGATTAGACCGACCTCTGACTAGCGGAGAGACAGGCATATCCGGTTAGGTCAAGGTTCAGCTGGACTAGCGATTGGATGCATGCAGCAAAAGGCGGTCCACCAGGAGTTGACATGGGGGGCGTTGCCCATGGGTCAGTCGGCTGGCCGTGAGCCCATCCGCCGCATGGGAAAAAACCGGGGCAAGCACATGGTCTGGAGGGTCGAGTGGGCATGAAACGAGCCATCAGGAAGCAGATGAGGAGGGGGCGAGAGAATGATCCAGAATCCACCCGACCTGAACGATGCACGGCACGTTCTATCTCGACTTCAGCGGTATGTCTTTATCGGGATGGCCGAATGTGACCGTAGTCGGGTAGGTGGCTGAAAGCGTGGGCGGCGGTCCAAGCCGGCCAGCACGTTCAAAAAAGCCATCGGACACGCAAGGCAGGCAACCCTGAAGGCTGAAGACCGAAGACGGGTCAGCCGAGAGTCGGAGGCCGCGATCCAGCGTAAGCGTGGAGGCAGAGAAGGTGGAGGTGGAGGATTCCGGGGATTGGGTGGATCGGCATTGTCGTTCCCTTTCCCGGCCAAGGCGGGATACAGTCCGGAGTAGATTGGGAAATTCCTGCAGGCCAGCAACGCAATGCCAGCGGGGACGGTGCAGCGACAGTGTAACTATAACTGACTCGATGCAGAGGTGTTATCTAATATGAACCGATTATAGCTAAAATTCGGTGAAGGCGAGCAAACGAGATCCAGTTCGGGGGGGAAATGGAGAAGAGGATGGGGGACTTGAGATTGCGGAGAGACACCGACCGGCTTCCCCAGAGCACATGACTCGACTCTCAGGCAATCAGGCTCTCGCCCGGCCCAGAGCCTAATTAGGCTTAAATCTCGACTTTCAGGGTCTTGGCCATGGTATACCTTCCCTAGACCGGCTAGTATGGGTGGGTATCTTACGGAAAGTATCCTATCACAACCAGTCACAATAACACAGGAACAGGAAAACATTGATTTGCTTTGGGTAATGGAAACACCCCAGGCCCCCCCGTATCATTTCTTTACAAGGATTGAATTACTACCCCCAGTCATATTGCCAGATTCTCATTCCCTGTCGGCTATGATGTTATTGAGACATTCTATGAAATTCTCTTCCATCTGCTTCCCGAATGACCAAGTAGATAAATCCCTCATGCAACAATCGCGGGAGACCCCAGTCACTCCAACATGATACTAAGTAGCTACTACCTACTAGTAGTACTCCTGGTCAACTGAACCTTGACATGGGACTGAGAATTTAGCCGACATTGTACCCTCCTTTTAGCCTTCGCCAAGGACTCTCTAACGTGCTGGATTCCAGCACCGTTGGTTACTAACGTTCGAATTTTTCTCATCCACTCAAGCTCTCTTGGCTGATTCGTGGATTTTCTCCGCCCGTCAATGGCTTCGACTCCCATATTTTACTACTACTAGTACTAGTAGAGCCAGGCTGTCCCCGCTGTACCAAGTGATGTGAGTAATGCAATCAAAGGCTGGTGGCTGCAAATCCAAAATCGCATCTTCATGTGCGGTATATGTGTATATATATACGACCAGGGTCATTATCATTACGGAAAATGTCGGGACAAACCATGTCCGCTGTCGGGGGTGAGACACAAGCCTCCCCAAGCCGGGAGAAGAGGGGAAGGAAAAGCCAAAAAAGCCACGCAGAGACAAAAGAAGAAACACTAGTCTACTAGACACTCAGCCCATGCAGGGCAGCCAACCCTAATTACCCGGCTGCCCATGCCGACCCCCTTTGCCGCATCTTACACCAGATCCCACTGTGCAATGAAGACAAACTCCATTTGCACCCGACCAACCCGCGCCCGGTATTCCTCCGCTGTCAGCCCCCGGCAGTCCGCTCGATCCCCGAACCGGGTCAGCACCACTATCGGCACCTGTTGGCCGGGCGCCCCCAGCATTCTGGAGTCCGGCACGTCCACGTACCACATATCTCCCTCGCCGTTAGGGTTCGATCCCCGCACGTGTGTAAATACGAGACTCTCCTCCTTCTGTCCGTCCACTCCTTTCACCATCAATAGGAACAACCCCGGCTTGGCCCGCGTGTGATACTCTAGCGTCCAGTGCTCGCAGATCAGACTGAACTGGAAGCGCACCGGTCCTCCCTGGTGCACTGATATCTGCTTGGCAGCCGGGCGGTAGGACCGCACTCCAATGCTGTGCTTCTCCGCCTCCCCAAAGATCACCGGCTGCTCAACGCACAGCGGTGAACTGGGGTTACCCAGAAGGTACTCCTGCCAGCTGATCTCCGGACGTCCATCGTCACGGTAGAACTGCGTTCGGTCTTCGGGGAAGTGCTTCAGCCCCAGCTCATCATTAGTGTCCGTGAACATGGCCGGGTCGAATTTTGGCTGGTAAGGCTGCCCCTTGCCAAAGACGCACCCAGCACCCCAGCAGGGGTCAATCAGCTTCCACTGCCCGTTGTCGATCCTGACGACGTTCCAAGCATGGCCACCTTGAATCGGGGGTAGTGGAGAGCCGGGAGTAGGGGCCACATATCCATAGCCCTTACCGTGGCCGTGGACGGTCTTCGCCTCCATACCTGCACGGGTAGCAAGCGCAGTGAACAATCCAGCATACCCTTCACACACACCCATTCCCGTCGCGAGTGTATTGGCTGGGGCTTGATTCTGCACCCGATTATTGTAGAAGGCCTCTACGTCATACGCGATGTTGTGGTGGAGCCATGTAAAGATGACACGCGCTTTGTCCGTGTGGGACGGGAACGGTGCCGTGAGTTCATTCGCCAGCCAGGACAGATCGTGTGTTGGGAGAGACGTGCGCGGGTATCGAGCTGCATGGGCATCGGCAGCTGAGAAGTCGCGGCATTTCAGGCACACAACCGGTGTTGGCACTGTGGGCGCATTGGAAGCATACAAACGAGGCTTCGTAGCTTGGATTTTGGAGAGATCCGGACGCGATGCCAGGGGGACAGGCGGGGGCACGCCATTGGAGCTGGGTTCATTGACGGCTCCATTGGTACTGCCAAAAGATTTATTGATCGCCGCGAAACCGGATTGTTTCAGCTTACCCAGCGTATCGTTAGAAGGCGGGGGCGGGGGCAGCCTCCGAACTGGTAGCGGTGGGTTCTTTTCCTCCTCTTCGTTGATAGTCAGCGACCTGTCACTTGTTGTCCTAGACGGCAGTGGAGGAGGCAGCCGGGAAGCCTGCGAATCGTTGCTTTCCACAGAGTAGTTGCTCTGGCTGGATTTCCGTCGCAAGGGCAAAGACGGACGAGGTGGAGATAGCCTGCTGCTACTGCCACTACTTCTCGTAGTGGGCGTCGGCCGCGGTGGTGGTTGTGGCTGGCGTTTGGGGGGCAATGGAGGCAACTCAGCCTCGCCCCAAGCGGGGGGCAGGGAGCGGCCAGGGCCTGCATTTATTGAGCTAGCCGATGTCTTCCCGGTACTTGTAGTTGTCGATCTAGATATATCTGAGGCCATAGACTCCAATGAGCCTTTATGAGAGGGTTGCGTCGGTCTCCGCGGTGGTAGTGCTGGGCGTTGTTGGTCGGAGGGCTTGCGAGCAGGCAAAGGAGGGGGTATCTTGTGTTTCACTGGGGGCGGTGCTGGTGCAGTAGCGGGACGTGGGACCGGCCTAGGAGGGACCGCATCATTTGAGGCGGATGAACGATTGTAGATGGAGCCATTGCTGCCAGCAGCATGGTTATTATAACTGTCGTTGGTATTGTTGGTGGTGAAGGTCTTGGGTCGCGGGGGAGCAGCTGGACGGGTGGGCATTGGAGTGGGCTGGACAAGCACAGGCTCGCTGGTGTCGATTCCTGAGCTTTGACCAACTTGCGCTTGTTTAAGTGCCGCAATCCGTTGCTGGATTGACATGACCTGAGGTTCTTCCGCCATGGTGCTATTACTTTAAGAAGTTCGTGGGTGAGGAAATAAAGGGTGAAGCGAATGAATGGCCGTTGTTAGGGAACCGTTATCGAGGAGTGGGTTTCAAGAAACGACGATCGCGAGTGACTAGAATTAGGGATGATTAGGAGGCCATAAAGAAAGGAAATAAGGATAAGAAGACTCCCTCAAGGATAGAGGTGGGTAAACGAAAGAAGGCAGAATCCTGAGGGAGGAGGGTTGGAGGCTAAGACTTAAAACCCCTGCCACGGAGGGGGAAAAGCAGAGGAGGGAGCGAGAGACTCAGTCAGAAGTGGAGAGGGAGAAGCAGTGGACGAGGCTGTGAAACAAAACCGGAAACGGGCTCAGCCTTACCGGTGCCTGAGGTGTGGATCAAACCCCCGTCTCCACCCGATTCTCTACTTTTATAAGGAACGAGCCATACACAATGAGATTGTACACGCAATGCTTTCCAGATATCGATAAATATAGCAGTCAATACATGACAATTATTTCAACGCGCAGTATGCACCTCCCGTCCCTTGACAAACACACGTCCAATATTGCGGTCATCTCCCGTCATCAAGAACTTCTCAAACACCGTCGGCACTCCGTCTTCCTCCTGCACTGGCGCCATTACGCCCTCCTCCTGCGTCCGAACAAGCAGCGCATCAAACTCCTTGCCTACCAGGAAGTTCCCCACCTTCTCTTGCAGTCCGCATACCCGCGCTCCGCCCAGAGTAGCCATGTAGAACCCCTCCGTGAGACTCAGAGGCTGGTCCTGTCCCTGCGTCATTGTACACCGTGCCGTCGACACCACAAAGGCAGCCTTCATCACGTCGAGCATGGAGCTTGAATAGCCTCCTCCACAGTCCGTACCTAAACCGACTTTAATATCCCGACGAAGATACTCTCGCACGGGGGCAACCATGAACTCATCCATCGTAACATTGGGAATAGGGCAGTGAGCGATCCCACACTGCAGCTCCGCCATACGTTCGATCTCTACATCGGAGAGATATATCGAGTGAGCAAGGATGCTCCGATCATTCAGGAGCCCAAGCCGCTCATAGAGCTCCGTTTCACTCTTATCATTGGGGAACAGGGACCTGGTAAAGTCTACCTCACCCCGCGACTCGTTGAAATGTGTCTGGACAGGCAAGTCACGATTTCGGTCTGCGACAGCCCCAAGCCCAGCCAGGAGTTCTTCCTCGCAGCATATTGCGAACCGCGGTGTAATCACCGGTGTCACTAGTCCATGTGTGGGATCAAGTTTCCGAACTTGAGCAATAAAATTTTCCGTTTCGCGGAGGGATTCTTCCACCGACGCGTCCCGGTACCAGTCCGGGGCATGACGAGTCATATTGCACTTTCCGATCAGCGCACGCTGGCCTAGGCTGAGGCAGGTTTCGGCGAGGATGACTGATGCCGGTGCATGACGGGAACCGTAGTAGCAGGCGGTCGTCATTCCTTGTTTGAGTCCGCCACGGACACAGGACGCATAAAGCGACTTGGCGTACTCCAGATCGACGAGTTTGGCTTCGTGGCGGAAGGTAATGGTCTCCAGCCAGGTAAGTAGATCGATGCCCCGCCCTGTGCCGCGCTGGGCCCATTGGGGCGCATGAGTGTGCGTGTCGATGAAGCCGGGGATGAAGAATTCGGTAGGCTGCAAAATGGTCACTGTGCAAGTAGATTCAGAGTAGTGGTATTCTACAAGGAGATCTGAAATGGAAGTTGTGGGGGTGGATGGGTGGATGGCTTGGATGGTGCCAGTGGGTGAGAGGAGGATGAAAGTCTCAGTAAGGATCTCAAGGTGCTTAGAGCTGAGTGTGTGAATGAAGGTGCCATGGAAGGCTTGAGCTATGGGTGTTTCAGAAGCCATGAGGGGAGTGGCTGCGGTAATAGTTGGGGGGATTGATAATGATTATAATGAAGACGTTGTGGTGGAGTTGACAGAAGATAAGCGTTGTTAGGGGTTTTATCTACAGCGGGGTAGCAATGCGCCTCCACATTTTCTACACCACAACAGCCGTAAGCTCAAATACAGAAATCTGCCTCCAAAATTGTCATAATAATCCAACTAAAGGGTATAATATGTCGCCATCTCCTCCTGGAACCAATCATAGGAATAGAATAATTGCTCCGCCAGTTGCGGGTCAATCATGGGTATATTCCCCGATCCATTTACCAGGAGAACGTCATCCAGCACCGGCGCTAGGGGTACCGGTGGTGCTACCAAAATATGCTGTGGTTGTTGCTGCGGCTGCTGTTCAAGAAACGGTTGATGTTGTGGCATTGGTGGCTGTGGTTGCGGTGGAGGCGGTGGTGGTTGTGGCTGCTGTTGTTGTTGAAGCTGCTGCTCCTGCTCCTGCTGCTGTTCCTGCTGATACGCCAGATGGCTGAAGATCATCGTGCTCTGGTTGCGGAACGTCTCCGCCAGTCGGTCCACCCCCGGACGTCGCTTGCCAAATTCCTCCAGCAGAACGACTACTGCCTGGATAGCCCGTCGCATGCTCTGATCCTCGGGCTTCCACGCAGCACCACGGCCGTCGCGGACGGACTGGAGATTGTGGTTTAGACACCACAGGATTGTGATGCCGGCGAAGTAAACCTGACTGAGGGTCAACCAAATCCACTTCAGCTTCCCCTGCGAATAGCTGTCCCAGTAGGACCGAATGACCTGGATGCTGGCGTTTCCGCAGCTCACAATGCTCGTGGCATCGGGTGTCGGATTACGCGGACTAGGTCGGTACATTAGGAGCAGTGTCGTTGCATATAGATAGTCGTAGTAACTAGTAGAGTATAAAAGCGCGGGCGCATACACCGGTGCTTCCTGTCGCCAGTCGTCTAGCTCCTGGCGGAAATGACTCAGCGTGATGGCAACCTCTGTTGGAGGAGGTGGCGGTTGGTTGTTGAATACTGTCACAGTCAGTGGGACTGAACACGGCGAGCACCATATAAACTAGAAGAGACTTACAGTAGCGGTAGATGCGCGAAAAAATCCGGCGCAGGCGCACCACCTGCAAAGGAATAGTCATAGCACTAGCCCCCGGGGTCTCTGTCCAGTTGTCATTGAATTCCCGCGGCAAGCCGATGGAAATGTCCTCGTCTGCAATTCCAAGTGGCCTTCCAAGGGTGCTGGCGATTAGTCGATCAAGATTGTAAAGACTCCAGAACGCCCGCTTGGCCATCTCTTCTTCTATCACATTCCCCGTTGGACGGGCTTTATGCAACCCAAGACTGGTGGCGAGACGCAAAGTAGTCCCGAGGATGTGCCACACACTGGGGCCCGTGGTCGCAAACATTGTATACACTGCGACGCTTAAAAGGGCTCGAACAGCTGCCAGATCTTCGTTTTGTAACGCCAACGCCATGGTCTCATTGCTAACATTGTAGAACTCGGCAGCCTGTGTCTCGTCGGCAGATCCGATCAACAAGGCCGTGGCGATGGTGATGTGATACGAGTGATGAACCTCCGGTGCGGGGACCTCCCCCGCATAGATGCGATCAAGATGGGCCATAAACTCCTCCCGATGGAGAAAAGGGTATTGGTACCCCAGACTATCAAAGTATCGCAATGCTACTGATTTCGCCTCTGGAAGCGAGGCGAGCCGCATCACGCGAGGAGCGGATGCTACCGGACGCGCGATGGAGGGTCGTCGATGCTCCAACTGGTCGCGAAACAACTCACCTACGTTAGGCAACTCGGTGCCTACCGCAGTGGAACTAGAAACAGGGCTGCTGGACAGCGCTGTTGCCGTCGTTGTGGGTGTTGAATGTGTTGAACTCCCGCGAGTCATCATCAAGGCTGGTACCTGGTACCACCAGTCCGGGTCGCCCTCGCCATCCAGCGCAGTCCCCGTAGGTCGGTCGGCGACCGAGATGCCTGTTTTGCGGCGCAAAAGCTCCTCCAGCCATCGTACCCGGTTTTGTAGATTCTCCAACTGATCTCGAGGAACAGACGCCGCAGCGACCTGGGGACCCGGCGGAGGGATGGTACAGCGGACACCGGCGCGAGTACACGCGGAGCAGTTCGGGTAGCGGAAGTCACATTTCTTCTTCCGTTTTCGACAAAAGTCGCACGCTGTGGATACTCGTTTACTGCGAGGATGAGGAATCTGTGATGGGGAGGATCGCGATGAGGCCGGGGTTGGTTGAGACTGCTGCTGATGAGACTGAGGGAGCGACGGTGGTGCTGTTGGGAGTGGCTGTTGCTGCTGAAGCGGTACGGATGGAGGCGGCGGCAGCGACTGCGGAGAAGGGACGGAACTGGGGTGAGCAGGACGCGGCGGCGGAGGAGGAGGAGGAGGAAGCGATGCAGGATGAGAAGGAATCGGTAGGGGATCGAGTCGGAATTTGCCCAGCTGATGCCGAAATTCGGGGTCACGGTTGGTCATGGTGGTGGAAGGGACGGAGAAGGAGGCCAGGGAAGGCGGCTCGAACCGCAGGCCATACCGGGGGGAGGAATTATTGAGTGGGGGATGAGATGGATGGATTTGGATTGATGGGAAAAGAACTGGGCGAACTTGAACGGAGTTGCAGCCGTAGCTCGGTCTTTAGTCTTAGTGAGCTGCCGGGGGGAGAGAGGGGCGTATCCACCCGAGGGAGGTCTTGGTCTGTAGTTAGAGAGAGAGAGAGAGAAATGGCGGGAAGGGAAAAGGTTTATTAGTCTTCATCCCCTCAGCCCCAAATGGTCGATCAATCCTGCCAGTGACTCTTTTATCTCTCTCTCTCCCTCCCTCCCTCCAAACTTTGACGGGTGCACCACATTTGTTAAACTGCAATGCGGGCAATTGCAGTCACAGTTTGCTTAGGAGGATATCTACACCGCCGCCCGAACCTCCCGATCCCTGAACCTTAACCCACCTCCCCTCAAGGTTCCCTGGTTATGATGCTTTAACACGAAGGACTCGCAGACAAACCCAAGGCTCGGGGCCAACACCGGTTTACCCATCCGCCCCCTACATATCCTACTACTTCCTACGCTGCAAACTTCGTCCACTATCTTGTGGACTCACGAAATTGATAAAATCAATACATTAATTCTAGTTTTATATATGATAAAATATATGCCGACCGAAATCAAATCATTACTGAAATCAACCATAACGCCTCAAATCATCTGTTATTGCCAGGTCCCCTTTGCAGGGCCAAAATATCCCGAATCGGGAAGTTTGTTATATGGCACACCGTGTGCATCGGCTGTATTCTGATACACGGTGTTACCCCACCACTTCAATGACCCAGCTGGTAAAATAATGCAGAAGAATATAATGACGGTCGACACGGCAACCCCGGAGTCGAGTGCGGCAGAAAGCACATAGTCTACAGCAACTCCATTAGCAACTGGCCGCGAGCAAGACTGATCAAGAACCACTTACTATACTTTGACCACCAGGCAGGCTTGCGCCATTTGATAACCCCATTGAAGATCACATTGACCAACCACCACGACGAAAAGTTGATTCCCGTCGCAGGAGGGACGAGGCTCATGGCACCAAACGCAACGGGCCAAGAAAGATAGTTGACCTTCTTCCACCGGCGGCCCAGGAGCCATGTGATCACCACGACGGCGGGTCCAACAAGGAAGAACCAAAGCAGATTCCCGTACATCTGGCCGGGACTGAAGTTTCGATCGGGACCGAGAACACCTAGACAAAAACTTTAACGGAAAAGCCACGAAGTTTAGTGATCGGGCCGACACTTACCCCAGATCAAGGATGACGAGTAAGTTACCTGGCCATGAGGGCAGGTAAAGCCTCCCTCAGCCTCAGGGGTGCAGACCCCGCGGATCCGAGTGATCATGAATACAGTCACACCGCACTGAACAACGGCACCAACCAATGTGGCCATTCCCTGCGCGACAAACAGCGTTCGTGGCGCGATATGGAGATAGTGCGCCAATTTCATGTCGGCCACAAATCTATACATCGGTCAGCTCTTATCTCCCTGCAGACCATGCAGACACTTACTCGAGTCCCTGCGACACGCCCGCATAGCCGTAAAACTTGAACGCCATGTTTGCGACTGGTCGTCCTAGGAAAGCATAGCCACCGATAAATTCGGTAATCAAATTTAGTTGGTTGCTGGATATATTGGTGATCGCTTTAATGATACCAACGGGGATGATGTATATGATGGGTAGCAAATATGCCAGAAGAACCGCCCACGCCGGGAGGTCCGTACGCCAGACCTCGTTGGCCACTATGCTCAGCGCAAACATTACAACCGTAATGCCGCCAAACCACCACCACGGCACACTCTCATACGTGTCCATGATCCGGGCATGAACATCTTTCGCGTTCCTACCCTTCCATTGCTCAACTAGATCTTTCCCGTGATACAGTGCGACGTGGACGAAGATGCCCGTCAGATTCGCAAAGGCCACGCCATACGTCATGGCATACCCGGCCGGGAGAAACATGGGGGAATAGTTGCGGTATGCCTCCACATTGAATGTTCCGTCTGCGTTCATTACGCGACTTGTATTATATGGCTTGCCCGTATTGTCGAACGTATCTGGGTTCAGCAGAGGAAGGTAGGCCGAATACCACGTGTTGGTATAATAGATAATCGGGCAGATGATCCAGTAGAAGAGCACAAACGAACCGATAACGTTAAGGCCTGCCCAGAATGGGACTAAAAGGGGGCTCTGGTTGGCGTAGACAACCTGTGCCCAGTCGAAGGTCAACAAGGACATGCCCAACCCTGTCTTTTGGCCAAAGAGTTGGTTGACCACCACATTGTCCGGTACGATCCAGCAGATGAAACTGAATGTACTTAGGGCTGTGAAAAGGTAGCCTGGAGCGAAGTACCAGATTGCCCCAGCCACGAATACAATCATAAAGAACCGAAGTCGGCTAATTACCCAGCCATCTGCCATCAGATTCTGGCGCGAATGCAAAGTCGAAAGCAAAGCGGCGTTCGACAAGACTTGCGGCCAGATCATAGTGGCCGGATCCACGAGCCAGCGTGCGGCCATCCCCGCCAAGCCAAACCCAAACAGTTGCGTGGTAATCATCAATAAGATCTCGAATCCTCCATGAGAGGGCATATCGTAAAATTTAACCATGGCCTCGATCACTTGAGTTGCAGCTGCCGACCCGAAAGAGACATTGGACATAATTGTGATCAGTGCATGCTCTTTGATGTTGAAATGGCGGTCCGGGTTGAACCAGCCCAGGGGCACCCATTGCGCCCACGCACATCCGACCGGAAATGCTAGGAGCTGGGCAACGAGAGCACTGATAGTCACACTGGGTTGTCTCAGACTAAAGAATTGGTTCAAGCCACTTCCGACCTATAACTGATGAGCGATTTACTTCCCCAATTTGCAGCAGCATCACGATCGGAGGGAGAGTACATACAATTGTGAAGACCATACCAATCACCCACATGCGAACAGTATTGACGGGGAGCTGCCGGTCGTCAACCGGCTTGACGACCGCGCGCACTTCGGGAAATGGGGAATCGTCGGCTTCATAGGGGAGGATGTCCTGAGCGCGAGAGTCGCTAAGGATGCTGGAGGCATCGCTAGTCCCATTCAACGACGGCTCCTAGACAAAGCACGAAGACGATCATCAGCATTGCAGATTCCGGGAAGGAGATGAGTGCCAATAACAGCAGATGGTGGATGTGTCAGATGTGATGATGTCTCACGTAAAAGTGAATGCACGATGCAGGTGGGGGGAAAATCGGACGATGTAGATGGGGACACCGCGTGAAGGGATTCCAGGGAAGATGACAAGCAGTCGGGCCAATATGAAATGAAACCGGTCGCGATCAAGATAGTGAAGATGTAGATAGTAGTAAACCATGAATAGTATGTAGAATGACGAGGAAATATGGGTCTAGCCCACCTGGATCGTCGATGACTTCTTCTCATCGGTCATCGTGTCCTGAAACCCCATCATCCCCTCCTTCTCCTCTTCCAAAGGATCCCCGGATTAATCAAGATGCGCTGGTGGGAGAGACAAGCTAAGCGTCTAGAAGCTGGGATGGAACAGCACCCCGGCGAGACCGGCTCGGATGATGCGTGGGATAATTAGCAGATAGGGGCTCTGGCTGGTCCGGAGAGCATCGGCCGCAAAGACGGTGGAGTGCGCCGCTGCAATCAACCAACGACCAGCAAGCTTGTCATCGGCCTGGCCCGACACTAACAGGCACCCTAGCTTGCCAGAGACGGTAATTCTGGAGATGGGCTGTTCAAATGGCACTCCTGGGTGGATAAAACGCCTGGAGGCTATAAAGATGAGGATGAAGTTGGGATAAACTCCCCTGCTGGAGTTCTTTCTGGGGCGAGCGAGGGGAACGGTGAGAAGACAGGCTTTCCCACTAGGCACTGACGTACCCTCGCGCCGCCCAAAAAGAAAGGGGAAAAAGTCTGTTTGGTGACTCGAAGCCCATCATGGCTGGTACCAGGCGTCCGAGATGGCAATCTCTCGCACAATCACAAAGAATTCGGCCACGCCGGCTCCACTCCCTCTCCACCAACTATTGCGGTTATCCAGTGCCACCCGGATCTTGGGTCCTATGAGATGGGACAGATGGTCGCCCATACCTTATCTCTATTCTACTCTTAGCATAGATAGGGGGGGGGAGGATGATCTGATCAGGATCAGAGTGTGATAGCGATGCAGCTTGCATGAACGCCATTGTCAGATTTGCTCATTGTGGATGTGGGCAACTGGTGGTCCTGGCTGAGTTCTGCGCCACCATAGGCTCCAATTGAGAATTGGCAAAATTAAACATATATAAAGCCCCCTTGTCTGATGCAAGACACGACAAAGTCAATGTCCCGTTCAGTTGTGACACTGTACTACCACAATCCACTTCTGTGTACAATGCTGAGCAGTGAAGACTTACTGGGCAGAGCGTAAAACCGAGATCTTTTCTGTAGACGGAAGTCTCTCGGTCCGAGGTTCGCCCATGCAACACAGACATTGTTCACCGTCCCTTCAATACTGGAACAGTGGGTGCCAGCATGCCCCCAATTCTGAGAAGTTGACGGCTCGGGAGTTTTGGAATGATTTAATGAACATTTTGTGGAGTCTGGACTTAGGCAGTAACAATCCCGTAGGGCCATGTACTGTGTACAGTGTAGATTATAGTATAGATAATAACTGTTTCTTACTGCTTATTGTTGTTGCCACCGGGCGCACAGGGAGACTTTTCTTAATAGACATAGGATGACATCAGGGTATGTTGGCAATATGACAACTACCTGCAATGTACACATGATGGCATTGAACTAGTACGGTTAGTGTGCGTTGTCGAGCTCATGAAGCCTGATCCAAGTCCTTTGTAGCGGATGGGAGAAAACTGGGTCGGTCATGTGTCACCTCTGGATCACAAACCAAAGCATTGTCTTTTAAGTCTGGACAATAGTAGCATACTAGCTACCCACTACGAAGTGCCGTAGTAGAATGTCTGCGGGATTTGACCCGGGATTGCAAGTTCTACTCGTCCCTTGGAACAAGATCCAGGTTAGGGGACGATAAGCTTGGTGAAACCTGCTATGGCGACCGATCCAGGATTGGAGGTCGACCGTCCGGACATAATTTCACGCACCGAGTGCGTGCACGATACAT